ACAGCGAGCGCGATTAAAACCCCTGGTATCATGATATCAAGCGATACCTCATGAAGGGCGAATACCCCAAAGGAATCAATGATAATGATAAACGAACCATTTGAAAAAGGGCAGTAGGGTTCACGTTGATTGGGGAAACCCTCTACAAAAAGAGCTTCGATTCCACTATCTTAAGGTGTGGACCATGAAGAAGCCCAAACTTTGATAAGAGAAATTCACAAAGGAGCCTTTGGGACCCATGCACCTGGGCATGTCATGACAAAGAAAATCTTAAGGGTAGGGTATTTCTGGTCCACAATGGAGGCTGATTGTCACCAATATGCTAAGAAATGTCACAAGTGCCAAATATATGCTGATAATATTCGCGTTCCGCCCGCACCTCTCAGCACCCTGGCTACACCATGGCCATTCTCTATGTGGGGCATGGAAGTCATCGGACCCATCGAGCCTAAAGCATCTAATGGTCACCGTTTTATCTTGGTGTCCATTGACTACTTCACCAAATGGGTAGAGGCAGCATCATACGCACACGTGACTAGAAAAGTGGTGACCACCTTCATCAAGAAAAATATTCTATGTCGGTATGGCATCCCTCATCGGCTCATTACTGATAATGGGACCAACCTCAATAACAAGATGATGAAGGAATTATGTCAAGATTTCAAAATTCAGCACCACAATTCCTCTCCATATCGACCTAAGATGAACGGTGCGGTGCAGGCAGCCAATAAGAACATCAAGAAAATCATTCAGAAGATGGTAATAACATACAAAGATTGGCATGAAATGTTACCCTTTGCCTTGCACGAATACCGAACTTCTGTACGAACCTCTACAGGGGCCACTCCGTTTTCCCTCGTATATGGCATGGAGGTTGTACTACCAGTAGAAGTCGAAATACCCTCCCTGCGAGTGGTTATGGAAGCAAAGTTGGCAGAAGCAGAATGGGTCCAAAACCGGTACAATCAACTGAACTTAATCGAAGAAAAATGGCTGGACGCCATATGTCGGGGGCAAGTTTATCAAAAGAAGATCAAGAAAGCCTACGACAAGAAAATTAATCCCCGCACTTTCCGAGAAGGGGATCTGGTAATAAAGAAATTGCTTCCAGCCCAGAAAGATAAAATTGGAAAACGGGCAGCAAACTATGAAGGACCATTTGTGGTCAAATGAGCCTTCTCAGGAGGAGCCCTTATCCTCACCAACATGGACGGAGAAGATCTTCGACATCCAGTCAACTTAGATGCGGCAAAGAAAGACTAGGCTTAAAGACATTGCTCACGACCCGTCAGGATGAAAACTTGTAAAGAGCATCCTGGGCAAAAGATAGGGTTCATATTCCTCGCTAGGATACGTCCTAGGAAAAAATTAGAGGTTCAAAAAAAAAAAAGCAATGATTACCTTAGCCGAAAACCGCAAGGCGACTAAGGTAATACCTTCCCAAAAGTAGACAAACCTTGCATGGTTTTCACTCCGAACTCAAGCATCTCAACTGAAGCAACCAGGAAAAGCAGGGAAACAGAAGTCAGGGACATGATTGTTATAGCTCATACAATGTAGCCAACCCTGACTAGCTCTTCTTCTAAATCCCTTTTGTAAATCCTTCTGTAAAAATAAAACCATTTGTTTATATCAATAAAAATTGTCTCCTTTTTCTCTTAACCAATTCATAAAAATTCCTCTGTATTAATAAAACACAAGCATCCATAAAGAGTCAATACAAGAAAGCATAAGAAAGAAAAAAGGAAAAGGTAAAGAAAGATGCCTGCTAGGACATTCTTAGGCAAAAATTAGGGCAGTCTGCTAGATCGAAAACCCGCAAAGGGCAGTCTAGGCAAAAGATAAGGCCTTCATAAAAAGGAAAAAAGTCCGCTAAGATATCCTAGGCAAAAATTGAGGCAGCCCGCTAGATCGAAAACCCACAAAGGGCAGTCTAGGCAAAAGATATGGCTAAAACAAAAATAAAAAAACCGTCAGAGTAATCGCCAGAAAACGAGAATACCAGTCGCTTTCTAGGTGCCCCACCTAAAAATAAATTGCATTTAGAGCATCCACGCACAAATAGTCGCACAAAAATGACTTTTTCAAAAACAAAACAAGCAAAAATGCTTCAAGCAAATAAAAACAAAAGAGCATTCATGTAAGAAAATTAGCTTTGTGCTTGTATTCGAAAACAGGAAGCACCCAAAGGCACCCCGGTAAGACTTCACCGACTCTACCGAAAACATGTATCAACCACATTAATCAATTTTCGACGACCAACAAAAGTCGAAAACAAGACTCCCCAGCAACCAACAAGCTGGATGACCACCGGAAGGGTCAAAGTAAATCCCCTGCGAAAACCGGATGACTATCCCGGAAAAGTCAAAAATAAATATCAAAAAGCAAGAGAATGCATCTCAACACCGGCGCATGAGCTAGAGTAGTAAGCCGCCACCACAACCAAAGGGTCAGCTACCGCAACAAGGAGCATCCTGAGGCACCTAACCAGATGAGGGTTCGTACTCGTCAACTAAGGGTCAGCTACCGCATCAAAGGAGCATCCTAAGGTTTCTCACCGACGCATGAGCTAGAGCAGTAAGTCGCCACCACCAGCAGTCCTACAAAGTGGACTCAACACCAGATGGGGGTGTGTACTCATCAGGCCTTACTAAAGGGGGTTTGCCAGATGGGGGTGTGTACTCATCAGGCCTTACAAAAGGGGGCTTACCAGACGGGGGTTCTTACTCGTCAAACCAGATGGGGGTTCGTACTTATCAAATGAAGGGGTCAGCTACAGCAAGAAGGAGCATCCCAGAGGCATACACTTTTTCCTAGAGGATCAACCACTGCAAGACGAGGCATCCGAAGGACATCCGGGCAAGAGGGTTAACTCCTTCACCCTCCAGCCGATCTTCTTGGCACAACAGGCCAACAGTCGGCTAGTCAGGTGAAGGGGGGGGCAGCTGTAGACCCCAAATCTCCCCGACCTCAAAATAAGAATAGAAGACCTCTTATTCGAAGATGGACAAAGCCTAAAAAGCCACTAGGAGAGACTATTAGGCCCCATATTAGAGTAGGAAGGCTTTCTTGTACAAAAAATAAGGATTCCTGCCTTCAGGGGTCGAGACCGCCGTCTTGCTCTTCGGGACCGCCGTCTCGACCAATGGTAAGTCGAGACCGCCGTCTCGCCACTTACCATTGGCGAGACCCCCCTCCCGTTTGGCGAGATGCCCCTCTCGCCATTTGACAAGTCGAGACTGCCATCTCGCCAAACGAGATCGTCGTCTGGCTAAAGGAGACCACCGTCTCCCCAGTTATCAAAGTCGAGACTACCGTCCCGAATGGCGAGACCGTTGTCTCGACCTGACAGGCGCGAATCCCTATAAATAGGGGGTGTTCTCCCCTTCATTTCACACAGTTCTTCCACTTCTCCTCCTGCAATTTCTCAAAATTCTTCTCTTAGAGCCCCTCCGAAGCATTTTCAGAGTTTCTGAGTGTTTAAGAGAGCTTTTTATAGCGTTTTCAAGAGCGAATTCAACGTTGTAAGAGCGAAGGGCTACCAAAACGCACCCTATTTTTCGAAAATTAATCAAAAGCTTGCTCTGGAGGTTTCTTCACTCTCTCCTTCTCTTTTATTGTTCTTGTTACTTATATTAAATTGTGCAATAGCTATTAGGGCCATGTAGTCATTATTTTAATTGCGCAAATAAAAGGGTAAAAAACGTCATTTTAAAAGTTTATTTATAAAATAGTTGGCCTGTCACTACAAGAAATTTTCCAATTAGCTAGGAAAATTTGCTACAAAATTTATTTTTCACTAATTTATAGCTAATTAGCTATAAAATAGTAAAGAAATAAAGTTGTAGCTAATATGTAGTAAAATAGCTAGAAGATAATATTTTTGTAACTATTCCCTCACTTAGTAGAAAATAATTTAGCTAGGGAGAATGTTTATCACTAATCTCTAGCTATAAATATTAACTATATTATTTTTTAAGCTATTTCTTAGCTAAATTATATAATATACAATCATAGTTAAATTGTAGCAAATTTATAGCAAAAAAATAATTATAAAATAATTTGAAAATTATTTTTACCGAATTTACTATAAATATATTAATTATATATATATAAATTATTTTCTTTGTTCGAAATAAATTATTTGAAAATAATTATAATTTTTTTGAAAAAATATCTAAAAAAATTGATAAATATTTAAAATTATTTTCTATAAAGTTTTTATAAATTTAAATTTGTAGGAAGTATTTTTTATAAACTGTAACATAATTTGCATCTCGGTCCCTAAAAACATATTTTTCTACATCATATTACTTATTTTATAATTTTCTACTAAATCAAAGTATTATATCCCTATTTAATAATTACTGAATCATAAAAAGAGTAATAAAATTTCACGTAACTTTTTTTAAAAAAATATTTTTACATAACTTATAACTCTTATTTATTAATATTTTTATATTAAATAATAAAAACTTAAAGAGTCCACAAATAAAATCTGTTTTGCAAATTAAACAAGGTAGATTAAATAACCCACCATTCGAGACAATTATTAAATAACCCATTATTTTCCTCTATTGGCAGTGTTTGCAACGTTTCCCCTCGGGGCGTCAAAATTAATAAGCTGAAATCATTCTTACTTCCGTACCAAACAAGTATCCTCTTTTTCTCTTCGCAAAATCAAAACCTCACGCCACAGAGTAACAATCATTCAACTCTTCCAATCCTTCGATTCAGAACCTTTTCCCTTTCCTTTAAACTCCAATTTCCTGAGACAAATCGTTGCCATTGTTTTCCATTCAAAATTCAACACCCTTTCACGACGAAGAAAATGGGTTGTTAGGGTTTTCATTCTCTGCTACGGTCTCCGCATTGCGGCTCCCTGCCTCTTCCTCTGCGAACCGTGACCACTTCCATTCTGTTTCACACTCTCTGTCTCTGTTCTTCGATTTAGGGTTCATAATTCTTCTTCCGAATTCGAACCGAGTGAATTACAGAAAATGTACGCTGATCTCATGGAGAATGGAGGGCGGAGGTCCGTGAAGGAGCGCCTTAATGGGAATGGTACTAGTGGTCTTACTCGGCTGTAGTAACAGCGTCAAATCACCGGCAAGAGGTTTGCAATTCTTACTCCTTCATGTTTTCATGATGTTTTAGGTTAGGTTTTGAATTCGGTTGTGGTTTCGCCATGTAAATTGATATGACGGACAATTCCGGTTGTGGACAAACTGTTGGCCACCATCATTTTTTTTCTTGTGATTGTGGTGCATGTGGAGGAAATATAATTTCTGCTTGTTAATTGTACTATTTTTGGAAGAGAATCTAGGTTGAATTGGTATGGTATCAGTTAGGAAATGTTTGTTGCATACGAGGAATGATGACATTCTTAAAAGAAATACATGACATCCCTAAAATACTACGATCGGAAACGTTATTTTATAGACAAACTAGGGTGTATGATCATCTTTTGTTATTTTTGTCACCCTGAGTAGTTCTTATAGGTGTTGATCATCCACTTAATTCCGTTAAACTTGTCAGATTCTTTTACAACTATCCCATGATCTAACTCTACGAATATTGTATGAGAATTCTAGGTTTGAGTTCATTTCATGAATGTAAATTACACATATTACAGAGAGCACTCTTTGAATGTTCATCTCCATAGTTATTTTTGTCACAGTTAATAGAGAGGCCACCCAATACCTCCTCTTCCACACTCTTTGATTTTATGCAATTTCTTCAATTGAATCCATGCCTTCATTAATTCTATGTTCTCTTCAGTGTTATCAATTGTTGATTGTGGTAAATGGCAGAAAGTTAATAATTCGCTCTATTCTATACAATCATGCTGCAGTCTGTAGTGAAATGGTGGAAACCTCATAGTTGTTAAATAACATATCTGTCATGCGTATACAAGTAGACAGGAAAGGTTGTGATGTAAGATGCAATTGTCGCTTGTTTGAGTTCAGAGGTATACTCTGTAGGCACTCGCTTGCAGTATTGTCACAAGAGAGAGTGAAGGAGGTCCCCTGTAAATATGTGTTGGATAGATGGAGAAAAAATATTCAGAGGAAGCATGTTAATATAAAAACGAGCTATGGTGTCAGCATTTTGAACCTCATGTGCAGAGGTTTGAACTGTTATGCAATCAATTCAAGAGTATTGTTGTTTCTGCTGCTGAATTCGAGGGTACAAGTTCTTTTGTGAAGGATACCCTATATAACTTAAAGGAGAAATTGTGGTTTAACTTAAAGTAAGAGAAGCAATAAACAATATTAACATTCAACTACAAAAAAGCAAAGCCTTCAACCCTTTTGTTTGAACTTGTTCTTTCTTACTACTCTGGGGGTATTGTGGTTGGCATGATCATGGAGTTCAAATTCAAGTCATGCAGAGATGAAAGGCTCCAGATTGAAAGCAACGGTGGAGGCAAGGTGGCCCCAACAAGCATGCAAGATCTGAGGTGTCAGAGTGCTAAAAATGCTTCTTCTGGCCGTGCACACCAGATAGGTAGCACTAGTAAGGAGGTGAAGGTGAAGAGAGGGAAAAGGACAGTTGCTAAACCATCAAAAAGTTTGAGCTTCAGTGACCTTGAGTTGCAGAGGAAGAAGAGAGTTGTTGGCTATAAAATATATGCTGCAGAAGGAAAAATGAAAGGCTTTCTAAGAAAGAGTTTCAGGTGGATCAAGAATACATACACTCAAGCTCTCTATGGATGGTGGTGATTCATGTTTTATTCTCTTTTCTTCATGTTTTCTTTTTTGTAATGAGAGTTACTTATTTGTTTTTTCTTTTACTCAGTACATTTTTAAATTAAATCCTCCAGCGGTAGTTGTTATATTCTATTTGAACAAGATCGTGTTTCTGGTTCAGAAGTTTAACTCATTTTTGTATGAAATTGCATTGTGTTTTGAGTGGCTAGTTTGGTTACTTCTGAAATTCTCAATTGTTAGTTCAATTAGATGAATATTTTTGGGTTTGAAGTAGAATATGATTGGTTTATTTGTATTTTTATTTTAATTATAAACGTCAAGAAGAAAAAAAGTGACAGCGTTATGAGAGAATCACTCTACTTGTGTTCTGTTTCAGGCAGTTATGAGAGAAAAAAAAGTAACTATGTTTAAACAATACTTTTATATTGAAAGTTATAAGTTTGTCTTCTTTTTTTAAGAATATGAGTAATAATTTAAATCTTAAATATTTGATATTATAAATTTTGATAAAAATTTTGAAGGATTAGCTATAAAATGGCGAGAGAAACATTGCAAAGGATTAACTACGGATTAGCGAAGAAATAATTGCGAGACATTAACCACATATTAGCTAGAGATAAATTGTCAGGGATTAGCTACAGATTAGCAAAAGAAAAATTGTGAGGGATTAGCTACGGATTAGCGAGGGAAAAATTGCGAGGGATTAGCTACGGATTAGCGAGAGAAAAATTGCGAGAGATTAGCTACAAATTAGCGATAGTGATATTGCGAGGGATTAGCTACGGATTAGCGAGAGCGAATTTGCGAGAGTTTAGTTACGGATTAACTACAAGTTTTGGGAGATCTAATTAGCTAGAGATAAACAAAATTTCATCATTTAAATTAGCGAGGGATTTAGCGACAGTTTAGCGACAAAATTTGCTACAAATTTGAGAGAGAATACATTTGTATCTAATTAGCTACTTGAATTTAGCTACGGACTATTCCATAGCTATTCCGTAGCTAATCTGTAGCAAAATATACCAACGAGAGATTAGCTATAAAATAGCTACTAAATGTGTCATAGCTAATATATAAAATTATTGTAGTGTGTCATAGGGAACCCGAAAGGGGCGTCGTAAGGGAACTAATACCTCCTTTACACGTAACTAACTCTCTTATCCAACTCTGGTTTTAACGACCAAAGTTGGTTTTTTCTTAAAAAACCAACGCCTTTTTATCCCCTTTTTCGATGTTTCTGGTAAAAACATCGGTGGCGACTCCATAAGAACCCTTTTAAATTCGTTCTTAGGTCAGCCCGGTTATCGGACGATCTACGAACACCCTTTTGAAAACCTCGCCCTTAGGTTCAGTCCGGTTATCAGACAACCTAAAAGACGTTGTGACCTCACACCATAATTAAACGCAAAAAATGGAAAGTCGGAACTATCGCGTCGCTCCGACCACCTCTTTTGACGGCGGCGACAGTGTTTATTATGAAAGAGTTTTTAAGATTTTGTTTTTATTTTGTTGTTGTATGATTATGCTATGCAACAAACAAATACACAAACAATTCACTCATCCGCAAACTATGTGATGATGTTTTTATTATAAGGTAGGGGTATCCTGCAAAAGAGTGCGTATTCAGGGTGGTTCTAATTATCCTCAACAAGGCCAGGCCCCCAAGGTGCCCCCATTATAGGGTTCCCACTCTTCTAGCCCTCAGACCATGTATGGCGCTAGGGCCTTGTCAGTCTTTAGGCCAAAAGAGGAAGGTTATCACCTTGAGTGGTGGTTTTCGACCATACCGGTGGGCTCATGGCCCTCACTACGGCAAATCGTACCTATCACTCACTCCCTTAGGTTATCCCACTTGCCCCCGGGTATATGGGGAACTGTTGTGTGCAAGGGTTTGTGTACAATTGTTTATTTCAAATAATTTCATAAAGTAAACAGACAACAATTATTAAAGTTAAACAGTAAAGCATATTATAAAAATAAGGAAGGGTAAAAGCATAATTTCAAGTTTTTTTATTTTCTAAACTTAGTTCATTACTAAATAGGATCAACTCTCTAGCTTCCCTAGTGGAGTGGCCATCTGTCGCCGCCGTTAGAAGAGGCGATCGGAGCAACACGATAGTTTTGAAATGACTCACATTTTTTAAAAGAAGTGGTCAACGTTTTTAGGTTGTCCAATAACCGGGCTGGACCTAAAAGTGAGGTTTTCCTAAAAGGTTTTATGGAGTCGTCATCAGTGTTTTAACCTTAAACACTAAAAAAGGTAAAAAAGCAGTGGTTTTAGAAAAAACCAACTTTGGTCATTACAATCAGAGTCGGGTAAGGGAGTTAGTTACGTGTGGGGAAGGTGTTAGCACCCCACAATGCCCCTTTCGGGTTCCCTATGATGGACTAATTCAAAAAGATAAATACTTAAAGAAATTATGCTTTTACTCTATTATTTTACCTACTTGCAGAATTTAAATGTCTACATAGTCCTAATATCTAATCCATACAAGGAAAGCGATAAAGAAAGCAGTAAAAGAGAGAGAGAATAGGGGAGGAACCTCCGAAGCAAGCTTTATATTAAATCTTCAAAACTTGAGGACGTTTTATGGCGGTCCCCGCACTCTACAAGCACACTCCTCTCGCAAAAGTTAAAGTTTCACTCTACCGAGGGTCAGATGTCTCAAAGAAAGACCTCTTTAACCGATTTCTACCTTAACGAAAATCGGAAAGCTCACTCGAACTCTAGAATAATGCTCAGAGTTACTCTAAATTGCCAAAAGGCTTCCTAGAGAGTGGTAGGAGTGAATAGTGTGAAAAAAAATCGAGGAATGAGGCTCCTTGTAGACCCCAAATCTTGTCCGGCCTCCAAATAAAGTCAGAAGACCCCCTATTTGAAGACGGCCGAAGCCTAACAAGCCACTAGGAGAGACTATTAGGCCCCCGTACTAAGATAGGAGGGTTTTTTGGTCCGAAAAATAAAGTTTCTCGCCCTGAAGGGACGAGACCGCCGTCTGGAAGGACCAGACCGCCGTCTCGCCTCACGCCAGGGACGAGACCGTCGTCTCGCTTGTCCAGACGGCGGTCTCGACTTCTGCCTAGTCGAGACGGCGGTCTGGATTATCCAGACGGCGGTCTCGACCCCCTGCCATGGTCGAGACGGCGGTTTGGATTGTCCAGACGGCGGTCTCGACCCTGTCAGACGAAACGGCGGTCTCGACCTGTCAGGCGCAAAAAACTATAAATAGGGGCTCCATTCCCCCTTTTTCCACACACAACACACGGTAGCTCCTCCTTCTCTCTAGATTTTCTCTCTCTAGAACCCCTCCGAAGCATTTCGGAGTTTACGAGTGTCTCTAGGCATAAATTGAGCGTCTTAAATCTTCTTTAGAATCCCTCTGAGGCATTTCCGGAGTTTCTGAGAGTTGTAGAGTGAAGGGTTGCCAAAAAGCACCCACTCTTTAAAGAGAAATACAAAAAGCTTGCTTTGAAGGTGCACCCTCTCTCTTTCTAGTTTTACCGCTTTCATTTAAAATTATGCAATAGACGCTAGGGTCATGTAGTCATAATCTTTAAATACCGCATAATAAAAGGGTAAAAGCGCAATTTTCTAGTTTAGTTATTTATCCAAAGTAGCCGGCCTATCATAGGGAACCCGAAAGGGGCGTCGTAAAGGAACTAACACTTCCTTTGCACGTAACTAACTCCCTTACCCAACTCTGGTTCTAATGACCAAAGTTGGTTTTCGAAAACCAACGCCTTTTTAAACTCCTTTTCTGATGTTTCCGGTAAAAACATCGGTGGCGACTCCACGAACCCTTCAAAACCCGTTCTTGGGTTAGCCCGGTTATCGGACAACCCAAGAACACTTTTCGAAAACCTCGTCTCTAGGTTAGCCCGGTTATCGGACAACCTAAGGACGTTGTAACCACCCATAAAAAACGCGAAAGCAAGAGGGTCGAAAAACCATCGCGTCGCTCCGACCGCCCCTTCGTTTTTGGGAGGCGGTGACAGATGGTGACTCCACTGGGGAAGCCTAGAGAGTTGATCCCATTTAGTGATGGGCTGGCTTAAAAATAATTAAACCAAGAAAATAGCGCTTTTACCCTGTCTTGTATTACAACATGCTTTATTGTTTGACTTTCAAATAATTGTTGCTTGTTTATACTTACGCAATTGATTGAAATATAAACTGCACACAAACCCTTGCACACTACAGTTCCCTCTATACCCGGGGGCAAGTGAGATAACCATAGGGAGTGGGTGGCATGTACGGTTCGTTGTAGTTAGGGCCTTGTGCCCACCGGTGTGATCGGAAACCACCACTCAAGGTGATAACCTTCCTCTTTTGGCAACAAGACCGACTACGGCCTTAGTGCTGAGCATGGTCGGACGAGCTGGAGAGTGGGGACCCTATAATGGGGGCACCTTGGGGGCCTTAGCCTGCTGAGAACAGTTAGAACCTACCCTGACCAATGCACTTTTCTGCAGGAAAACCCTACCTCGTGATAAAAACGAAATCTCGCCTGTTCGGGGATGATCGAATTGTGTGTGCATATGATTATTGCATTTGTATGTTGCATGGCATAAACAAACAACAGAACAAAAACCAAAAATATTTTTCACAAATAAACACCCTTATCTCGGACGGTCCGCCTTTTAGCTAGCCTGGTTTCGGGTTCTTTGTAAGCTAAGTAGCCACGCAGTTCAGACGGAAGAGATAAGGGACACTAAATATTCTTTCGCATAAAGCCATATTTTATCTCGGACGATCTGCCTTTTAGCTAGCCTAGTTTCAGGTTCTTTGTAAGCTAAGTAGCCACACAGTTCCGATAGAAGAGATAAAAGGCTATAAAATAAATAAATAAAAATAAAAAATCCATTTTTCCAAAGTTCATAAATAAGACCTGGTCCAAAAATTACACTCATAAAGCATTCATATAGATAGTTTATTCTTTCGAAAAAATATATACCATACATCATGTAGGAAAACATGATAAATAGAAGAATAGACACTCACATTCATACAA